ATAACCCCACTCTCGGGGAAAAAGTCAGCGTAGAGTTCACTAAGTAATAATAAAATAATAAGAAAATTGAAATCAAAATCAAAACGATGTTAATGTGCGCATGTGAACAGAAATATAATATAAATATACATCTATAAAGAAATAAAATGTCAAATAATTCATGTTTTGATATTTTGGCGTTTATCATGCAAAATAAATATTTTCAGCTAAGTTCTGGTGTGTTTCTCGTGCGGATCTTATCGGAGCAAAGACTCCGTGTTCAGTATTGTTTCACTGAGTTACCGTATCCTATGAAAGACGTTGACAGGAAGTGCTTGAAATCTGGTCAGCTGGAAATTATTGATAGAACGGAAACCGTTCTCGACCTGAGGATTACCAATCTCACTGCGGTAAGCACAGTATATCATACAATTTGCGGCACCTTATGCAAATGAAAACTGCGTGCTGTTTGGCTTGGAAGGGGCATTCACTGCGCTTTTGCTAGTTCCTTTTGTTGGTTCATTATAACAAACAGGTCTCAATTTTGGTCAAACTTGTGAACTCCTGTGAAGTTGCTAAAGTGTTCGAGTGAGCCCATTCTGGTCACATGAATTCACAGCTCATCACAGTGTGGCCTGAACAAGCTTACTTGAGTGCGGTGCCCCACCTAGCCAAACTGTGCTAAAATTGTAACCACAACAGTGCAGAATACTAGTTGCCAATCGATAACTGTTTTTCGTTTAGGAATACCTCACTGTGGAATTCGAAATAGCTGGAAATTATGGAAGTACGTAAGCTTCACTTCCTCCCGCACTTCTGCTTGATAGCTGGAATCTCCGCGCATACAGTACCACCCACTTTCGTTTCAGGAACCATTCGAAGACTAGCGAATCGTGTAGCTGTTGATGGAGCGCTTCCTGCTGAACGAATAGCGGTCGCGAAAGGGATTGTTATGGATTTTGTTACGGTCTGTGATAGGTGGGTTACGACAAGTTGCTTTCACTCAACTAACGGGGATCCGACGTTCATCCACAGTTTGGGAACACCTGGAAGTCTATGGCAATGCTCACATCTTTTCAGACCCTTCTATGGAATTATGTGTGCTCGCCAATGTTTCGAAAAGCATGGCGCTAACTATATTTGCGACCCACGCGGAGAAAAGGTGTGCTTGGTTGGATGGACAGGAAAAGACTGCGATATGGGTAGGTGCTGGCTCTGTTTCGACTCCAGTTCACTACTAAATGCACTCCATATCCCGGAGATGCACCAGGTGGGACTGCGTGCTTTATAAACATGGCGTGGAATGAGTTTTTTAGGAAATATTTCCGCTTGACAACTGCCTTCTTGTTTTAAGCTGGACACAGACATAATCACAGGAGTCTTAGAACAGAAGTATTTCACGGGAAGCGTCACGTTCAAATAAAATGCGCAACCACACCCCATCCATCTCCGGGACATAAGGTGTAACTTCAGAGATCGTCATGCAAAATTATGTCGTTTCAGCCATAACTGACGTCCCTCTTGGTAAATCGCCAGATCCCAGCTCTACACTATCACCGACTTCCACAAGTACCGGTAGGTTGTCAGGGAAAGATATCGGTGAGTTCTCAGATCCCTACATCTTCCTTGAAGCTTTGGGGAACTATCAGGATTGCCGGTTATTTCAGATACGACCAC